GGCGGCGACAGAGAGCGGCGGCGGCGGCGAGGATGAAACGGAGAAAGGATCGGTGAGGAAGATTGTGAGTTTCATAGGGGAAAGAATCTGGGGAGCTTGGAATTAAGTAGTTGATGATGAGTTTTTGGAGGTTCTGTTAATTACTCCAATAATTATGGAGGAAGATGAGAGAATTGAAGGAGAAAGAAAAAAAAAAGGTGAATCTGATGAATTAGTTAAGCTTCCATTGATCATCATCTTCTTCTTCTTCTGGTTTCTGGTTCTGAAATTAGTTGTGTATATAAAATTGTATATATATATAGCAGTTTTTGAATTTGGGGATGACTATATATATATATGTACAAATTAATTCTTAGTTCATACATCTCTGTTTGTAAAACTAGTTGTTTCATTGTTCATAATTAAACTCTATTCTCGTTCTGGAACTTCTAGCAATTCTTCTTCTTCTTCTTCTTCTTCTTCTTTTTTCCTTTTATTTTATTGAATTTTTAATACCCCAAACAGCCCTAGGGTTTAGGGTTACTCGTACTTTACAAGTGTAGCTATGAAAATTTTGATTATCCATATAAATTTATATGTCTGACAGAAATTTAATATTCTACTCTTTTATCATATTTTTGCTCTTACAAAAATATCACAGAGGTAGAGATATTTTTACTTCTGAACTATACAAAATTTAATTTAATTTTAGTATGACAAAAATTGGGTAGAAATTTGAACCTCCACACCCAAATAACAGCTAAAAATGTGGTAAATTATTAGACAACTTAAATTTGAAGTAGGAAAGTCTAAATTTTCTATAAAATAACCTAGAGAGACAAATTCATGACTTAGAGAGAGATAAATTCTAATTATTACTAAACTAATATCATGTTGACAGATTGGTTAATTAAGAATTTTATAAATATAAGTTGTGGATATCATATAGCAATGGGATTTCTTTAAATTTAGAGAAGGTTTAATATCTATAAAGATAGGGATGGGGCGGTTTAAAAAGGAAAGAATTTAATTTTTATAGTTATAGGTACGTAAGCAAATAAAATTGTAGTTCTACTAAAAAAATAATAATAATAAAACGAAATAAAATTGTAGTTGTAATTTGTAAAGAAAGAAATAAATGTAAAAAAGGAAAAAAAAAAAAAAAGGTGATATCAGATGTGTTAATTTATAAGTGGAAAATAAAGAAAAAAGGAAATAGAAATGATGGGTCAGGAAAAAGGACGGGACTGCTTCGATTAAAGCGATGGAATCAAATTTCAAAAAATTAAAACATTAAAAAATTAAAAAAATAAAAAGGGCAAAAAGGGCGGGAAGTGGTCCCCACTAACGACTCCATCTCCAATGCTCTTTTTCGGTGTTCCCCATGCCACGCCCATGCTTTTATTTATTTATTTATTTTATTTTTTTCAGGTTTAAATATTATTTCGATGTTTAGGGTTTAAATTGGGTTATTTTAGTTTCTCTAGTTTTAAACCGTCTATTTCAATCTCAAGGTGATTATTTTTATTCTTATTTATAAAATTTAAATACAGATTTTATATATGTTGGATAACTTTTTTATACAAATGTATGGTTATATTTCTGAAATTTGTATAATGTCGTACTAAAATTTTGATGAAAAAAGTAAATGAAAAATCAAATGAAGGTACACAAATTTTCACTTTGAGTACATTGATAAAAAAAAATGGATGCTTTGAAAATTGGAGTGAACAAAAATTGAAATGGTAAGAATTAAAATAAATATTTTTAAAGTACAGAAACCAAAA